GTTCAAATGATGTTGCCAAGTATATTTTGTCCATACAATCAAACGCAATTGGGACTGATGGTATTAGTCGAGACATGGTTTTGCTTACCCTACCACATACTCTCTCTATTATTACTGATATAATTAACAAATCAATTGTAACAGGTGTGGTTCCTCATCAGTGGAAAAAGGCATTAATTACTCCTCTTCCTAAAGTTGACCATCCAAAGGAATTTAAAGATCTGAGAGCTATTAGTATATTGCCTTTTTTATCTAAAATCTTGGAAAAAGCCATATACTTTCAATTATTAAAATACATTGAAGTCAACAAGATACTGCCGCTTTTCCAGTCGGGGTTTCGAAAGGGCAGAGGCACTGTCACAACATTGCTTGATGTGACAGACAACATATTGGCTGCTCAAGATAATGGTCAAGGCTCTATATTAACTTTACTTGATTTTTCCCGCGCATTTGATAGTCTCAATATTTCATTATTACTCTCTAAATTGTCATATTATGGGTTTAATCATCACTGATTAATTGGTTTAAGAGTTATTTAGGAGAGCGATTTCAGGCGGTTAAATTGCTGAAGGATGATGGTACTTGTATGATATCTTCCCCCAGGTTGGTGAAGCGTGGAGTTCCTCAAGGATCTATACTGGGCCCACTTCTATTTATTATATACAGTGCCGACCTCCCTAATGTTATTAAGAACTGTAACTATCATTGTTATGCGGACGATGTACAACTGTATATATCTAGAAGTCAAATTGGGATATCTAATGCCGTTCAGAAAATGAATGAAGATTTAGATCGCATCGCTGCATGGTCTAATAATAATGCCCTTGTTCTTAATCCTTTAAAATCAAAATATATGGTAATTGGCTCGAAAAATCGAATTGAGAAGGCATCGAATAATAATCTAGTTGTAAAGATCGGTGATACAAATATTGAACATGTTTGCGAGGCAAAGAACCTTGGTGTGCTTTTTGACAGTAATTTACGTTTTGAAAACCATGTGTTGGGTTTGGTCCGGAATTGCTTTTATCGACTTAAAATATTATACAAGATACGAAATTTGTTGTCAGAAAGATCACGAATTACACTGTGAATCTCTTGTATTATCCAGATTAAATTATGGTGATCTGGTCTACGGGCCTCGTCTCCTTTCTTCATCTCGTCGAATGATACAGAGGATTCAGAATGCGTGCTGTCGCTTTTGCTTTGTTGTTTCACCTCGTAGTCACATTACACCATATTTGAATGAAGCATCTATGTTGAACATGGACTCACGTAGACGATTGCATCTTGCTGTACTTATGTTTGATCTTGTGAAATTTAAATCCCCTGAATATCTATATAAAAAACTCAAATTTCCGACTTTCAACAATTATTATGGATGTAATGTGTCTCGATCAACGCGGCCCCCGTTGGCGGTTCATAACCATAGGACAGTCGCTTTTACGGATGTTTTCGCCACCAGGCGACTAAATGCTGGAATAACATACCCCCTCCAATGAGATAGCTGCATCCAAATCAATTTTTAAAAAGTTGATAAAGCAACATTTATTAAATAAGCAAACATTTGGATTAGTTGCCTGGTAGCGACTGCTTTTAACATAATTACTGTGGTGAATTATTATTTGTATATGTTAAAAATTATGTTTAATTAATTAATGAAATATATTATTTATGCATCATCTATATAAGTATGTATCTATATATTATACCTTATATAATTTTACCTTTTGCTATTAAATTGGTTACACAGGTCAAAATAAAAGGTTAAATTGGTAACACTCTGGGTTTGTTGCACGCGTCCGTGTAGCCTTACTTCAGGTTGCAGCTGAAAATCAGTGCTTTGCTTTTAAGCAAAGGTATCACTGAGCTGTAGCCTTTTTGGGTCACTGCGACACACTTGCTGAAAACATATCTCCAATATTAATTTTTTTGTTTTATATGTTGTTTTATATTTGAAAAAATGTAAATAATCAAATTGTTTCATTTTATTTATTAATTTACGTGTGTTAAATGGCTCAAATAAAGTGTTTATCTATCTATCTATCTATCTAACCACCTTACTCCTCAGGAACTGCTATGTTTGAAGGGTATCATGGGCGATACAGTATACTCTGTGCTGTCTATAGCATTATTCATCTCTATATGTGACAGTTACCACTGTCAGTTTACTAGGGTGGATAGTCAGCTTGTTTGCCATTGTAAGTTGTATAAAAAAATGGGAATAAAATTATCATCAATTACCTATACTTATTTAGTAGAGATATATCTTGTAATAAATACATTGAAGGGCTCGTTTATAATGTAGAGTAACTGGAGTTATTTCACTGGAGTGGCACATCGCTGGTGTCGGTCGAGTCGGCGCACTCTGTGGTCCGCCTTGTTTGCATAATAACATATACACGTTATATGTTAACTAAATCTACTGCTAATAAAACATAATATTCTATCTGTCTAATATTACCAATGACCTATTAACAATAGATCGCACTCATTCGGTTACAGTGCGGTTTGTGGCGAGCGTCCGCGCAAGGACGTTACCAGGTGCTGTTCTCACAGCTCCGAGTCTAGCCTTTGGTAGTGCTTGTTAGAGACGTTTATCCCACCGCAACTACGACAATTTTTTTATACAACTTATAATGGCAAACTAGCTGACGGCCCACCTGATGGAAAGTGGTAACTGTCGCCTATAGACATGAGCAGTACCATGGACATAACAGAGTATACTGTTTGGCTCATGATATCCCCCATGCGTTGCCATTCCTGAGGACTCAGGTGTTATTCCTACTGACTACTTGCAAAAACCCCCCTTATGGGGAGGCCTATGTTCAGCAGTGGACAGTTAAACGCTGATATGATGATGATGATTGTAAAATTATTGTGACAATGTGTATTTCCGAACCGATACGACAACATTACCTTCAAGAAAAGAGCATATTCCTTTTTAAAAGGCCGACAGCACACCTGCAATGCCGTAGGTGTTGTGGGTGATCATGGGCGGCGGTAGTCACTTACCATCAGGTGAGCTGCATGCTCGTTTGCCCCCTGTGTTGTGGACATAACAGAGTATACTGTTTCGCCTATGATACCCCCCATGCGTTGCCATTTTTGAGGACTCAGATGTTATCCCTATAAATTCACGTCATATCCCACCCTTCAAATCGAAAAACAGTCATGCAAACACAACTGCTTTACGGTTGAAACACGAATGAGACAGAGGTACCCAAGCAAACGACTTCTGTACAAAGTCTCCCTCTGGTAAATGGACAATGTTTTGTCTCCATAATATGATGTGTAGGGAGGGTATATCTGAAAGTACATAATCTATGTTTTTTTTTAATGGTTAAAAATGCTTTTTACATTAAGTCCGCCATGTACACATACTTGTACTAATGAATAAATAAATAAATAAATAAAAATAGCATGGTAACCCCGTCTGCGTTATCGGTATACGCTGGCGGGGTATCAGTGAGGGATGATAGTTGAGGATGAAAAGGCAGATTCGTTAGTCCATCGTGACGAATTTAACGATAAATCAGTCACGATAGTTTCCAGGGAAGACCGCGTGGAGGTCGACCCGATAGAGTATATTGATAGCAATGGGGGCTAACTTTCCCATTACTTACAATCCCTTCCAAGTAATCTATGTTAAAACTATGGAGCCATATCTATGTTCATGCCTGCATTGCAATAAAATTGTTGGTTTACTAAGAAATTTAATAATTGTTAATTATGTATCGCCCCACCAGTTTTGAATTAATTTCCTATATTTGTATTTAGTATACAAGACCATTTTTATTTTGTCAGTTATAACCGAGCGATTGTAAATATATACATTTCCACAAACCTCGCCGTCTCAATACAATCTGCAACAAAAGTTATGCAGTTTTTTTTAATTCCGTTACAAATTTTATATTTTTACTTGGCGCACGACCTCACAGAGTCCTCAACTGTCATTATAAAGTTATTGTCATCACTAATTAAGTAGTTACACAACGAGCGATGAAGAGAGCAATGGCCAGATTTTTTTTAAGAGATAGATATAAAGTTGTGACATAGCTCATGGATGACAGTTGTAGAGGCAACGTAGAGTCAGAGGGTAGCGGTAGTGTCAGAGTAGGTGGGGGAAAAGTTACGGAAGGTTGTTTTAATACCGCGGTGTCCACTGATATCGGCCTGGAGTTGTGTGAATGATTCTTTATTTTTCTTGACCCCTTCGATTCATTCTCTCGCCAGGACTCTCATAGGGATCATTATATAATCTTAGGTAATCTAATATTAAGTTTACAATCAGTAGAGAAACATGAATAATAAGTTGTAGAAAAACGACAAAAAGTTAAGCTTTACTCACTAGCACAGTTTCTCCAATTTATTATTAGAACACTCCCTTAAAAACACACTAACAATTGATATCACCCTGTATAACCGTTTCTGCAAGGGGTTTCTCTAATTGTTTAAAATTACACTAGCAGGTTTATTTCAAATAAAAACACATTCAAATTGTACATCTTATAAGTAAAGAGACATCTACAGTGCGAATACAAAAGCTGCAGTTCGTTTTATTGAAAACAGCATAACATTATTTCAGTTCCTGAAGTCGCCCAAACGAATCCGCCCGCCCTAGAGCTCCGCGGTGTCGAGGCGATTTCACAGATGTCGCTGTAGATTGTTATGAAATAATATTCGTTTTCAATGTTGGAAAACTACAAAATATTTCCGTACAATGAATAAAACAACTAGCCAAAAGTAGTCTGATACAGTCTTCATATCAAATATGACTACGATTTTAATTATTAATAATATGATTTTGATTAATAATAGTACAATATGACTATTGAAATATTATTGAAATATGAAATCATATCCATATTTTATTAATAAATGATGGTTGCATTATTGTACAATATTCACAACAAGCTTGTCTACAAAATAAGTCAAATAAGAAAGCATTGCTGATATACTGTGTGTACGAGCGTGTGGTACATTGTGGCCTCTGTGTGCAGGTAAGGGAGGCGGGCGCGGGCGGTGCGGGCCGCGCGAGGCGCGCGCGCAGCATGCGCGGCGTCACGTGACGCGGATGGCGTCCGACGCGCGGCCGCGCTCGCCGCCAGATGGCGCGCGAAGGAGACGCGACTTCAACAGGTTCCCTGTATTTACCGATATTCAATATTATTTATTATTTTAGTATTAAAAATATTATAAGAGTTGAATTATTTAATAAGTACCTTGTTACTCGTTAAAATATTTTTTATCCAAAGTTTCTGCAGTAGGCACTTACATAGACCGACTTAATTATAGAAAGAAAAATAAAAAGAGACTAGGTTGATTGAATAGTGATTATTACGAGTTCCCTCTTGGACGATTATTTATATATGTGAAAACTGTAAACATTGGTACGAGGTCGCTGTGTCGCCAATTCGCCAACGTTCGTCTATTTATAGGCGAAGCGTCTTCCGTTTGTCTGTCAGCCACCTGCTGTCCTTGCCGCATTGATTGCACTTATGAAATATACTTTATAAAATAGGAATTTTTCGATCCACTACTCGATAGGTATATGTAGTGGTTGGAGAGAATTCATGTTCACGGAGATTTCGGTCCAATCTGGAACCCGGCGGACTGGGTCGCGGGGAATCCTCCCGGAATTCGGCGGCGAGTCGCGGGGGAAGCTCGCCCGCTCTAAATTTGTCGCACTCGCCGCCGAGCTTTTTGGCGAGGTGCGCGCGTCGACGTGTGCGCCTGACAGTGTGTTCGCGCCCGCAGGTCGCCGTACGTGACGCTGGGCGCGGTGCGGTACGCAGTGCGCCGCGCGCCGCCGCCGCGCGCCTGCCCGTGCCGCTGCTGCTCCGAGGAGGCGGTGGCGGCGTGCCTCGGCCGCGCCAAGCCCGACCGCCGCACGCTGGAGCGCCTGCAGCGCCGCCTCGGCCGCGGCGCCCGCGACGAGCGGCCCTCGCGCCACCAGCGCCTGCAGGCCCTCACCGAGCGCCTCATGCCGCGCGCGCAGCCGCCGCCCCCGCCGCCCCCGCCGCCGCCGCCGCCGCCGCACTCCGCGCCGGTGCTGCCGCCCGTGCCGCCGCCGCGGGCACGCCACCGCCACAGCCCCACACGCGGTGTCTCCGTCGACCGCTATGACGATTTTGACGCCGATAATATCACTCTGGTCCGCGTAGAACCTAGATCGATCGTCGGCTCCTATGCCCAAAAGACTATACCCTATCGCAGTGCGTCGTTCTCGCAAGGTGACTTTGCTCAGGACAAATATTATCGTGGTGGGGCGGTTCGTCAACATTCAATTTTTGACTTTGGAAAGCGTTCGGCAAAAACGGAAAACGTCAGTGCCGGAGCCGCATCGCATCGTGATGTCGAGTCTTCGAGTTTAGCTACTGATGAAAACGCAACCGAGGGTGGTTCGGTTGCATCGGTCGATTCGGCTGTGGGCTCTGATGAGGGCTTGTTGGCTCATGCATCACCTGCCGCACGATCTCCGCCACCAGATACTCCACACAAGCAACTCGGTTCTCGGTCATTGACACATCCCCTCCCTCGTCGTATTCCTCCTGTCAGAGAAGAAGGAGCGACAGATGCTGGTGGTAGTTTACCAGCGTTGATGGCTCCGCGAGTATTACACGAACTTCGAGAGGAAAGTGATGGTTCGCAAGCAGACAGTGCTCAAGCGCATAGTGAAGGAACTTCACCGCTAGATCCCGCCCAACCTTTTGCTTTTCCTCCACTCCCTGCTCCTCCTTCTAACGCGTGTGCTAATTTAGACTGTGAATGTGCTAACTTTCCAACAAATAGTGACGATTCCGTGAGTGCAGTGGAAAGTTCTATTCCCGTGCCTGTGTACGAGTGTATAGTGAAACAGTGGTCGAAAGAGTTACCGCCGGAAGAACCACAGCGTTCGGATCATGCATCAGATGGTTCGTTAGATAGAGACAAAGAAGATGAAACTATTACGAGCGAGCAAGTTGCAAACTTATTAGCCGCTGTACAAAATCCTTGCACGCCGGCGCCTATTGGAGCAAGAGAGCGACGGCGACCGTTTGACAAAATCAAAAGAAGAAAAGGCATATATATAACTACTGCTAGTGATGATGGAGGAGAGGAAGATATCTCCACCTCCATAAATGGATGTAAACGCGAGAATAGTGACGCATCTCTTCAAGAGATGCGTTTATCAACTGAGACTAGAACATCGTCATTACTGGGTGATAAGTCTGATGATTCATGTACAAATGGACCTCCGAGTCCATCGGACGTTCCTACTCTTATGTGGCCGAGATCTGAAGAATTAAGGGCAAGACGAGCGAGATTCTCACAACAAAGTTCTGACGAAAGAGATGATGATTCATATAAAACAAGACGTAAATATGGAGTAATATCACGAGGAGACTCGCCTTCCGAAGCTGAGAGCGACTCATGTTCACGAGATCGGACAGCATCCCCCTCTCCGTTCAGTCCCTCGGACACATCCGATGTAGAAGTGAAAAGACAACAGTATTCAGCAAGTAGAGGACCATTCGGAAAGAATTTAGAGGCACCTAATCGTTCAACGGAAACCGGGAGGAGAAGCTTTTCCGACGCCACAGTGCCTAGTCGAAAAACAAGTGCCGGAGCCGCGATACCTGTAAGCACGAGACCACGAGGGCCTACACACGTGCGAGCTACCTCGTCCCCATCCAAGCTGGTCGGTGTGAAGCCAGGCGCCGACCTGCTGGCTGAACTACTACGGGGAAGTTCAGAGGCACTCTCCAATTCCACAGCTTTTGATAACGTTGTGATAACTCTCCATCAACATAACGTGAGTACCTATTTTTAATTTAATTGTTTAATATTTTTTATATTAACTTAAGTATGATTTCAAACAAAATCAAAGAATAATCGCAAAAAAGTGTGAGAAATTAAGTCATTAAGTAGTTTTAAATGTTATTAATGCAACAAGGGTTTTAAGTATTGTACGTTGTAAATATTTAAGTACGTTTAATTTTAAGGTCATTGTATGTCCTTTGGTGCCAGTAAACAGGACATTTCTGTTAGCTTTTTTATTATTCCATTATCAAATTCACGGTCAAATGTTTTTAAATACATTACTGGAGTTCTGCGGCATTTCGCGGTCCAATGTCGTGTGAGTCACGCCGCAGCTGTTCCAGAAAGCATTAAAAATCGTAAGGGCACGAAAGTTTATTTACGCATCTGTCACTAGCTGTGATGATGATGTAAATATATATTTACGACGAAACGAGATTTTTGTTCGAAAACTGGAGGTTCAAAATCAATTTGCGACGAGCCTCCGTTTATATAAAACAAAGTAACGATATCTCGTAATGTTCTTTATCTGTGAGTGTATTGTTCTATTTTTTTACTTTTCAGATCAAAATATTATGTTTGCCTATTTCATTACGATTATTATCATTCAAGGCATTTGTAAGGCATGTGACTGTGTATGTAGGTAGGTACATGAATTCAGTTATACTCGTTGCTCTCACTGAATTGTTTGTACGCTGATATTCTTTTGAATCTGCTCTTATTGCTACTGCTTTACAGCTACAATCTTATAGTTTTACGCCGCATTTAATACTTCGACATTTACCAGTGTACTATTTCTGTAAGTAAGTTCCTTGGGAAGTTCCTGTTTATTAGGTTTATATTAATACATTGAAAATACAAGGAAACTGTTGTATGTACAGTTTGTCGGTTATGAAGTTGTTAGTAAACTATTGGTCGCTCCCGCTCGCTACCTACGAAATTTCAAGGCGCATGCGTTGGCCCGACCGTCGTCTCTCCTACGTGGGAACACGTCCTGCCCACACTTGAATATTATACAGAAATAATTCTTTTAGTCAGGACTCCAATGACAGTGCAACTATAGAGGTTAAAGATATATATTTATATAATTTGCGGGTGCCGTGCCGTATGGAAATCTCCGGTGCACGGCTGGGATCGATGATTCATTAGGTCAAGAAACTATGTAGTGCTTCTTTATTTAGATCCTGTCGATTACTGGATCGGTTTCACAATCGCAACTTTTATAAACGATAAGTACTACAGTCATACAGCGATCTGTTCGCGCTCAGCTCATACAAGCGTTGCAAATTGATAGTGAACCGTTGGGAATAGAATTAAAATTGCCATTGATATGCGTTAACGACGTGCTCGTGCAAATGCACTCGCATGCCCATGCACACATGCACAAAACGTACAAACACGACGTACACACGTACCTATACACACAATATGTTATGTGGCGTCAGTAGGTAAAAAATATCCTTGCGATATAAAATCTTTCCAAGTTTTTGGTACGACGTGAAGTTAAGTATTCATCTTTTAAGAAAAATACATATACGAGTACTATAGTGAAATTAATTAAATATTCTACTGAAATACGTGTTGTCTTGCGGAAATAATAAGCAATGAAATAAATTAACATCTCTTTCTACAGATCATTTAATAACAATAAAAGAAGCTTTCATGTTTGGTTTGCAATTTTCTAAAAGACACAGACTTTAGTTTAGCCGTAGCAGTAGTAATGTAGTCAAAATTTCCAATATGAGCTCTTATAGTCACAAAAATTCAATTATTATTTGACAATAGTTTAATTTGAAATTCTCTCCAATGCCCACCAGCGATTCTTGTTATTTACAGACGGCAAAACAATGTACAGGAAGTACTTACTGGTTGCTATACTGCACAGTCATGGTTTGTAGTAATACCTACTATAACCAATGGAATCTCAAGTTCCAAGAACCCAGCTAGTTACAATCAAATTTAAACATTGCTTTCTTTTCCTCTTATTATTAAACTGAACTTGCCCGTCAAGCTATTTATTAAATGCTTATAATCATAAATCGAGAAATAAACTAAAATTTATGTTTTTTTCTGCACAAAATACTGCGATCTTAGATTGTATAGATAGAGCTTCGAGCTTTAAAAATTGGCCAACTTTTTGTCAGCTAATTGTCAAATTCGTTGACTCGTTTTTTTATCAATGCTCTATATATTTACGCATAAAATGTATATTGACGTATTATTTAATGAATAAAATGAGTATTTACGCATTAAAAAGATGGAGAAATTATGACACAAAATAAATATATAAGTTATAAAGGAATCACAAAAAAGTCGAACCGATTTTCTCAAAGCTTTTCTATGGAGACCTTTTATCTATACAATTTGAGTCTGTGATTTACTTCGTGACAAAATTAACATGGGACCACCACGAGAGTAAACACAATCGCATACATAAAGAATTATTAAAATACGCTGTGGACGGTTGAACATATCGCTTAACATACTTATGTATACGTATTTTTCATTTTGTTTATTGTTTTTTTTATATTATAACTCAAATAGAAAAGAATTAAAAAAATCTGCACATACAAATACGAGTATATGGTACTTGTTATTATATGCTGGAAGAGTTTCTTACTTACAAGGTTATCCTAATTTGTAAGCCAGGGCAAAAATTATGTAACAGTGCAATTCTGTATTTTTTTTTTATACTACTTAGAATGGCAAACAAGCTGACGGCCCACCTGAAGGAAAGTAGTAACCGTCGCCTATAAACATGAGCAATACCATGGACATAACAGAGTATACTGTTTCGCCCATGATACTCCCCATGCGTTGCCATTCCTGAGGACTCAGGTGTTATTCTTCTGTACCCACTAAATTTAAGCCATATCCCACCCTTCAAAGCGAAACACAACCATGCAAACACAACTGCTTCATGGTAGAAACACAAATGGGACAGAGGTACCCAAGAAATCGACTTTTGTACAAAGTCTCCCTCTGTATTTGTTAATAAAGGTTTTACTTGTTTTGCTATTGATTCTCTTCTCCTTTTCAAATGTCATCTGTCTCGTGTTTATGAAATAGACATATGACGATTGATTCATTACTTTATATGAGCGAGCTGCGGGTACAAAGCATACAACCAGTGCATGGGAAGAAAAACTGGCAACAATCCCCATACAAAGTCCCCTGACCAGCGTACTAATAGAAGGCTAATATCCTGCTCTCATCTAAGAAGGAGTCATCCTCAGCACAGAGAGAACAATTTAAATGGAAATCCTTTTAAGGAGACTTCCTTAAAACCCATCAACATTTTACTTACGTGCTGTGCACGGGAATGTCAAGGATAGATTGAAAAGAAAACTGTTCTGCACATGTGGTTTCCAGGTGTAGATCTATTGTAGAACCTAGTGTTACGGAACTGGCGCAGGAGTGTACATAGAAGTATTTAGCGCATATTTATTGGAGTGCATAAACCTGAGAGCCACTGAACACTCTTCTCGTACAACTCAACTTTTTTCTATACAGTTCGCAAACAATAATGTGTCACATAATAATCCAATGTACAGAATGTGCAAATTGTACAATGACATTGATTGTGAATCGGTTATTGACATATTCTATCAGAAATTTTCATCGTATCGAAGCAATTTACATACATTGATAAAGTTTATAAGCATAATTTGGTAGTTTTGTTTTGATCCTTATTTTGTACGTAGTTTTTGTCATTCATACTTTTTGTGTTAAAAATCAACGTATTTCGTTTCATCTCTGTGAATGTTGAGTACAACTATAATTGGATTGCAAACTTATAACGCTACTGTTGTATTCTATTGTTAAAAGTTTTGTTTGTAATCTGTTAATGTACTACAGAAATGAATAAATATGTACATACTTATCGAATTTCCTTCGGATCATATGGGCGCGCACGAGGGCCTCCACTTACTCTCAGTTAGTTGCAAGTGCAATGTTTATTTTTGCAATGGAGTGTTTCACATCGATCGCACTGTGATTTAGATTTAGTTGCGGAGATTTCAGGCGCCGTCTCGTTTATTTTAGGTGGCCGCCACAATAATTAGGTATGTCATCGTGGTCAGAAAAACGACGGAAATTTATACGCGTAATGTAGTTTATAGACTGTACCAATGATACACTTCCATCACTTTACATATATGAAGTAGGTATTATTGTAAAGAAAAATATATATTTATTTAAAAAGGCTTGTGCCGTGTATTCTAGAAATACTGATAGACAAGTGCTTCCACAAACACCTGTACTGACGTAGTATATAAAAAACTCGCAAAGTATATGCATTAAAATTTATAATAAAATTCAAAATACGTTGAAAATGTTTCATATAAATATATTCATAAGAAAATACTATGAAATTTTAAACAAAGAACAGTTTTATAATGTTAAAGAATTCCTAATAATAAAAATAGTAACTGACTGCAGAGACCTCAATTATATTTATTTATTATTTATTTTGTCATTAAATTATTACTATTATCTAATGTCAATTTTTTACTGACATTAATGTACTTACATTTTTCATGCCATTGTTTTGGCAATACACGCATGTTCATATCATAATATTTATTAACATCTATATACCGTGTTTTTGAGCAAATAAATAACTATTATTATATAAGTGAATTTATTTTCCGTTGTCCAAATTTTAAGATAAGTCAAAACAAAAAAGTATTAATTTTTGGCGCATATGGCTGGCTCCGAAAGAATTTTTCACACCTTTTTTGAAGAACTACGAGTAGTCTGTACGCGTGCAATGGCGTTTACAATTTTTATTTATTACATTGTTTACGACGTCAGTTACGTTTCCGCTATTTAAAGCAAAAAATGTCCGTCGCCATATAAGGCGTAAAGTGAGTGGCAACAGTGGTGCGCGGTGCTCGCGTCGCCACGATTTATGTGGTACTTTGTCTCTGGAATATTGGCAACTTTCTTCAGTAATTAAGTGGAAATTTTCGCCCCTAGCTACGACTTTAATTA